CCGATGTCTCGATTCTGTTAACAAGCTTATTTCCTGTATCTCTGTTAATTATTCGACTACCATGCGTGTGTAACTTACCATGTCGAGGATTTTAATTAATTTTCTATGGAAAATCGCGTACACACGCTTTGATAATCATCAGAGGCTACAAATCATGCGTTCATAAAATACAACAGCACTTTCAGAGGTAATATGAACGGCCATTGCGCATACGCTACGTTTCCCACTTGCATAGATTCTCGATAATAGAGGTTTTAAAAACGGACGTTGATGGACAGAATGGCGGTGAAAACTATGCCAACGAAAAAAAGGTTAACAAGTTGGTCCCGAGACAAATGAATTCGAAACATCGAACACTGTTCCGATTTCCAGAGAAAAGAACGAACCTGTGACCTCGACACGGAAACGAACATAATCCAGCTTTTCTCCTGTCCTTCTGGGCTTTCCTTCTCTTTCTTCTTTTTAGTTTCCCCTTATTACAAGAACGTATCGAGAGATTCAGACGACGTAGCCGGCTTTGTACGGGCTAGCTAATTATCATTCGTGCGCGCGCTAACAAGTCGCGTTTTACCGTAAATGGAATCGCGGTATAGCTGAATCGACACAGCGCATGCGCGTACATGGACGTGGCCTAGCGACCGCGCACAAATAAACGCGTTGTGCTTCGTGGTATATATAACTATATCGGGATTATCTGTCTCTCCTAGCTAGTTACTATAGATGTGGAGACTTGAAAAATGATTTGCCGAGTTACGAGCACATTTTAAGACAAGTCTTTTTTGTATGTATAAACTTTAACGTTTATCCGTCATATTTCATTTTCTTTAAGAATGAAGAAAGATTATTAAATTTTTATCGTTGCATTAAAAACGAATAAAATGATAGGAAATATAATATTACGTCGATCTAATTAATTAAGTTTATCTTGTTATTAAAAAGAACAAATATATTATCGTAATTTATATCCAATTATCATTAATTTATATCCTGTATCCGCTATTCATATAATATATCATTAATAAAATGAATAACTATTATTGTGCGCATCTGTTTATGCATACCAAAGAAAATTGCATGAAAGATTCATATTCGTGCAAATATAAATGAATCCTTTTTTTTTTTTTTATTTTCTTTCTTACTTTTCTCCAACTTGCTTTCTTTTTTTTTCTTTCTTTTCGCTCCGCTTTTTAATTCGAACTTTGGCAAAACGAACACAGAAAAAACGCAGTACGTGTCTTCGCGGAAAAAAGCCTTGTCTTGGTCCTTTTTCCCTTCCCTCTACTGAATACCTAGTCTACGCCAAAGGAACAGTCTTTGGAATGGAAACAAAGCGCAAGTATAATCCTGACGGAAAAATACAGGTTTTTAATTAAATTGCGTGAAGGCTTGTATTTCTGGGATGGGGAGGAGAATGGGCGCGAACGTGATTATTCGCAGAATAGGCATGTTTGCCGAACACTTTGTATCTGTCGAAAGCGGAGAATTAAATCAGAATGGATAATAGAGATTATAAATCAAATAATATTTGATGCACAGTTTGATATCGGATATTGACTTTACGAAGATATCACGAAGATATGCTCATGATTGTATGTAAAAATAAAAAAAGGAAAGATAAAAAAGAATATAAAGGAAAAGATAGCAAACTATCTTTTCATTTTTTTATATTCTTAATTATAAGAAAAAAATACAACTCTCGAAAATTAGTCTAGAGCATTAATTTTTATTATTAAACACTCTGATGAAAATAAAGACTGCAATTATCTTAAAAATAATTTTATTTTCAAATATATCTAAATTTTAAGAAAACTATAATGCATCATATATAAATTTATCCGATATTCTATCCATTAATTCCAAAATTACAATGTATATAATATATAAGTACGTTTCGAAGCAATCTTTGAAAGATTCTGAACAGTAGAAAAAAAAAAAAA